GAGGCAGCAGAGAGGGGGACAGCGCAGTTGGGGGTCGCGGGGGTCTCCCCCCGCCTAAGAGTTACCTCAAGGAAAATGGGCGCCGCCGTCCAACGGCCGGCCGTTAGCCCGGCGTGGCCATGTCGTGCGGTGCCTCGCAGCTCCGGGCCTGACCAAACTGTGGTGGCCTTGTCGCCGGAAGGCCTCGGGTCTCAGCCTCCAGGAATGCGTTTTGGCAGAAGACCTCGGTGCTTAGAGGCTTTCCTCCAGGAAAGCAGACTCGTAAACGGCCCCATGAATTTACGGATCTCGATCCGTCCCGGCAGGGGCACCGGCTCCCGACACCAATTGGGCGCCTCAAAAAGCGCGGAGAAACTCTTAACCCGTGAGGAAATAACCGCGCTAGTGTGTTAACCGTGCAAGGCCTGAAGAGCTGGGTTATCCCCCATAATATGTAGCATGTTTGATTGAAACTTATATAAGACTTGGCAATACTAAAAGGCACCTACTGCAGGTCAGCGCTAAAATTAGACGCAGAGAGGAACCACAAGGTGACAAAGCATCACTTCATAATAACACAAGATTTTTCTTGGTATCCTAACGCTTTCCTACCCTTCTTAATAGAGGAGGAATAGATTATTCCCCAGCTAAACTTTGCTGATGAGTGGAGATGGAAGGCGAGATCATATGTACTCAGCTCACCGGAGACTTCGTCCGTCTCCTTGCCCTCGGGGGTATTACCTCTCTCCTCTGTATTCTGGTATATTTTCTAATGTTAAAAATTATGAGGCAGCTCATTCTTTTCTGGTACTTCAGATGAGTCGACTCGTTAGCTGTGTGAATGAGCACTATGCCATTAAAAGAAGCAGCGTTGCTATAGTAGCAGTAACAATAAATATATGAACCTGCTCAATCAAAACCTCCTCTTCTAATCATGATTTTGAGGCCTGTCATGAATTACATATTCAGCTGCTTCCCTTCCCCTCCTCCCAGCATGACTGTGATGGCTTTGGAACATTTCTGAATAATGTGATACTGCACCTATAAAACAAAGAAAATTGCAAAAATGGCATGAAAGGTCATGACTTTGTGTCTGACTAAAAATAGCCCAGATGAAAAGAATTTAAGAACACTGCACTTAATACCCAAACAGCATAAATCAGTACTGCTATAAACCCATGTCATTTCAGACTGGTTGAAGTTCTTACCCAATATGTCTAGAAATTTCACATTCTTTTGAAAGAATGACTATCGTAAAAGCTGTGTTGTAGTTAATCCCAGAAAAGAAAAATCTCCACCCCAGCAAGTGATGTTTGTCAGGGCTGCAGGGTCTGAAGCTCCCCGCAACAATTTTTAATGGGAGGCAGTACTTTCATTTATTAACTGCACATCCCCTGGTCTGGCATTGGTGGTGTCCCTCCGTAGCTGTTCGGTAAGTCCAGGAAGCGTGAAGGCTCACTGCATCAAGCCTTTGAGTGACTGTTAGAGTCATGTCAGATTCATGCAACTAACTGCCTGTGCTGTAAAACAAGAAAAGCAGTCATTTCTTTCTCCTCCTGAGAACTTTTGTCCCCATATTTGGTGCTCAACACAGAAGAGTTTCTTTTGGCTCACATGATGTTGCTGCTTTGCTGTTGCCAAGAGAACCACTGGGAGCCATTCCTTAAACCGTTCCTTAAATCCCACTGTCACGGCTCCGCTATCTCTTTCGCTGCTTCGGACCAGCCTCAAACAGCTTCACAGCTCGCTCACTCCAGGACAAAAATTCATTCAGAAATGTTTAATGCAAGAGAAGACTATTGGACTATCATAGCAGATTTCCTATGCGTGCGGACCATGGTGTTTTACTCAGGTTCCCCTTCAGAGGAAGCCAGCCGTTTGTGCTGAACTAAAAGGCATATCCCAAAAGGCATCTGATCTGAATCTGAAGGTATACATCAAGATGGTTTTCTTCCTTCTAGTGATTAATCACTTTCACGCTCTTAAAACTGTGCCGTGTTTCTCATTTCGGTTTTCCTGGTGTTCTGCTCATTGCCCTTTGTTATGTATCTCTTTGCTAAATTGCAGAGCCTGATACTTCCTTTTTTGTTTGTCTTATGATGTTACTTACTGATTGTAACTAAGTCTGTCTCATAAATTAAACAGAAGACTTACATAAATCTTTTTTCCCATCCTTCAGATAGTTTTGTCTCTCCTTTCTGTAACATTTCCAGTTTTTCCAGTATCCTATTTAAAGCAGTAATACCAGACCAGGACTCAGTGTTCTTGTTTTTATTTCGCTGATACTGAACGTGAGTAAAAAAAATCACTTTGCTGTTCTACTCACCTAGGTACAGGGCTCTTTTCCTTCCCTCCATAATGTTGCCTCAACACCTACACTATCACCCCAAAAATATACTGCTGATGTAGTCATATGTAGACAGCTGCTGAACAGAATCGGGAAACTTGTACTAAGGTGCACGTTGGTCTAACAGAAAGCAGAATCTGGATTACAGAATCGTTTAGGTTGGAAGGGACCTCTGGAGATCATCTAGTCCAAATAGATTATGGCCACACTTAACCTGAATTCTGTGGGCAAGGCCAAGAAAGGTTATTTAACTATGCCTTTTTATCATCAGGAACGAGTTACAATAAAATATCGAAATGAATAATTATTTAAGCATAATCACATTAGCTTTCATTTACCTGCAGTCTAAGAAAAATGTTTACAGGGCAGATCTAGGCAGACAAGCCATCTCCCAGGAAGAAAGTTTCTATGGTTTGATGAAAACAGGCATCTTCATTTTCCACTCCTTCTCCCTGGTAAAATGGGTTGAGGGTTAATCATATTGTTGGACTAATCCTCATATATAGAGATGACCCTAATTACTCGTCTTATTTACATTATGTTACTACAGCAGAAACTATGCAGTAAAGACAATAGCTATGTCAAGGCAAGGTTTGTGAAGAGGTAATTTCTTTTATTAGACCAATTACACTAAAAGATATTACCTCTCTCCACAAACCTTGCCTCTCTTGTGCCTTTACAGCAACAATACTGGTAATTACCTTTACGTGTTTCCCTAATTTTGATTCTACTTTTGTCTAAGAACTTTGTTCAATTTCTTAAAAGTATTCTGCTTAAAATTTCTCATCATTTTTTGCGATTAAATGTGACAGGACTATTCTCTGGCTCTGAGACCAGCGTGCATGGGAGCAGCCCACAGCCAAAGCGTTTTGCGATCCAAAACAATGCTCACAGGCAGACTACGTTTTGGGAAGAACGTCTCCTGTGCTGTTTCCCAAACTGTCTCCAGGAACTGTTTGGGAAAACAAAGTAAAGTTCTGGTCCAGAACTTTACTGGAGAAGCTCGAGGAAATATGTTGTGGCGCTGTTAAATTTGTTTGTTAAAGTAACAAGGCTTGATGGCTTACTCTGTTACCTGGCTCAAACTGTGGCGTAAGGAAGGAGGTGGTTTTTAGACTGAGGCTTCAGGCTATTGTCTTAGTTGCTTGCCTCAGGAGGGTT